CCTTCTGGAAGTAACAGCTATCTTCCCTGGAAAGCCAGCATTGTTTCCCACAACAAAACCTGGAGTGTGATAGACAGGAGCCTCAGTCTCCTGCCGGTGTGGGACATCATCATGTCCAATCACAGCGGTTGTTTTAAAGATGCGAGCAGAATCTGCACTGCTCTCTCAGAGGTGTACAATCACAGAGCAGCTGATGTTGTGGAGAGTGGGCCTGATGACCTCACCAAGTACCCAAAGCATGAGGAAGAAAAGCCTATGTCAACTGAGACATGGGAAAACAGAAACAAACCACACTGTGCTACCAGAGATCAAAGTGTTAAAAAACCTCTGAAGACTACGATAGAAAGACCTAGAAACAAGTTAGTTTCAAAGACACCACAAACACAGAAAGACAAATGCAGCGAGCTGGTCTGTAGGCTGGGACTAACACGGTTTTATCCCAGTAAAATGTCAACATCTGATGTTCTTGCAATCAGCAGATCTCCATTACTGAAGGACAAGCCTCTGGAAGAGCAGGACCTGTCTTCTGCTTTTCTACAGAAGCTGTTGATGCTGGATTACAGAGCCAGACATGTGACAGTCAAACAGGAGAGCAGTGAGGGGAGAAGCTTTCAATCTGGGAAGGCAGGAAAGGAAAGTGATTTCAGCAGCTTTTTAAATACAGGAAAAAGACCCAGCACTGATAATGTGACAGGACAGCTTGTCCATATTCACCCGATGGATGTCCAGATGGCTCTTCTGTACTGTGCAGACAGTTTCCTGAGGCAGTACATGGTGACCAAGCTGTGCTTCTGTCAGTACGCCCTGCCACTGCTAGTGCCCAGTCCTGTCACTGGAGAGATCGAGTTCCCACTGTGGACATTCCAACAGCTTCAGAAGAGCTGGAAGACAGTGGACAGCTCAGGCAATGTCACCAGCAGGACCCTGCCTGTCTATCAGGTGGAGGTCCCAATGGTGTCCTTCTTCAGGCTTGGCTCTGTATCCTCTTCCAAATCCCAGATCCTGAACTCTCTCATCAGCACACAGAGACACAACACGTTCTTCCACAGACACTGCCCAGGTAGCAGCAGGAGCCGTCTCTTGCTGGACGGGCTTGTGGAAATCGCCTGGTACTGTCCTGCAGGGAGGAGTGATGATGTTTTTCAGGACTGTGTTGCCTTCTGTAACCTGCGTGGAGATGCAGGAGAACACAGGAGGCAGAGGGAGTTTCTAGTTGGTGCTGCAGCTGTCAATGTCGTCCTCCTGGCTGATCTTGACCTTGATGACGAAGGCAGGGACATCTTACAGGAGCTCTTCATCTCCCCCAGGCCTCTGATCTGCCTGCTTGCTGAAGAAGACACACCTCTAACTGGAGTTTCTGGGAACAAGTTTAAAATAGGACTCAAGGACAGAAATCAGGCTGAAATTGTTGGAGAGTTGACAGGGACTATCAGCAATTGTCTGAAAGGCACAAATAACAAGTTCAGTCTTGAGGAATGCTCTGGTGTTGCTAGGGGCTGTGGGTTCAGGGTTGATGAAGACAGTGAGGAGTGTCAGGGAGGGAAGGCCAGTGCCCTGGAGGTAACACAGCTGCTGAAGAATGTGGACATTTCCAAAATCAAGGAGACCTTCCTGCCCTGTCAGGGAAAACTGTGGCATGACTGGTGCCAGAAGAACAAAGATCTTCATCGCTTACATGGCAAAATTGAACAGACCAGGAGTGAAATACTGCAGGAAATAAAAAAAATAAGAAAAAAGCAAAGAGACGCTGGACTCAGCGAACTGATGAAAATGTATCTAAAAAAACTGAACTCACACAAAATGACACAAAAAATGTACTTCCTGAAGTGGCTGGGAGTACTTATAGATGATCACTGTTCAGATCAGCTTTCACAGCTACATCACCAATATGACGCCAAATGGACAGAGGTGTTGACTTTAAAAAAGAAACATGACAAATCAGAAGAGCTGAACAGAAGACAGAGAGAACTGGAGTCACTGTCAAAGCGGCTGAATGAAGCGACTTTTGGGCTGGAGCACCTTCTGAGAGAGATGGGTCAGATTTATGAAGCCTGGGAATCCCAGCCTGGAGAAACAGGGAAGGAAGTTTCCTCTTTCCCTGCCCTGGCTGCAGATCTCCTGATCGCTGGGAATCCACTGGAACTGATGGATGGAGACGCTGCTCATGTCCCTCTGAGGTGGATAGACTCAGTCCTGGGCAAAGTGGTCGAGAGACTGGGAGACCAGAGAGTCTTTGTGCTGTCAGTGCTGGGCCTTCAGAGCTCGGGGAAGTCCACCATGCTGAACGCCATGTTCGGCCTGCAGTTTGCGGTCAGTGCTGGCAGGTGCACCCGGGGGGCTTTCATGCAGCTGGTCAAGGTGAAGGAGGAGCTGAGAGAGGAGCTCAAGTTCAATTATGTTCTGGTTGTGGACACCGAGGGGCTAAGAGCCCTAGAGCTTGCTGGGAAATCCACCATCCATCATGACAATGAACTGGCCACATTCGTCATCGGTCTTGGAAACATGACCCTGATTAACATATTTGGAGAGAACCCTGCAGAGATGCAGGACATCCTGCAGATCTCAGTCCAGGCGTTTCTCCGAATGAAGCAGGTGAGGCTGAGTCCCAGCTGCATGTTTGTTCACCAGAACGTTGGGGAGATCACAGCTGGAGAGAAGAACATGGAGGGGAAGAGACGACTGCAGGAGAAACTAGACGAAATGGCTCGTTTAGCGGCGAAGGAAGAGGTGTGTGACGTGGAGTGCTTCAATGATGTCATCAGGTTTGATGTGAAGACAGACGTTCACTACTTCGCACAGCTCTGGGAAGGAAATCCTCCGATGGCTCCTCCTAACCCCCGGTACAGCGAAAATATTCAGGAACTCAAGCAGGCGATTCTCTCCACTGCATCACAGCAGAAAGGCTTGAACCTGTCAGAGTTCAGAATCAGGATTCAGGATCTTTGGAAAGCACTGCTGAATGAAAACTTTGTTTTCAGCTTCAAGAACACCCTGGAGATCTCAGCATACAGGAAACTGGAGGTCATGTATGGAAACTGGACCTGGAAACTCAGAAGCCACACGCTGGCCATCGAGAACAAGCTGCACAACAGGATCGAGAATGGACAAACACAGTCAGTGAACAAACACAACCTGCTTCAGGACATGAAAGAGGCTTATGAAAGTATCCAGAAAGAGGTGGATCAGTATTTCAATGATGATAAAGACAAGGAGATCTTGGTTCAGTGGAAAGCAAAAACTGAGCTGAGAATCCAGGAGCTGAAGGATGAGCTGATTGAGGGAACGAGAAGGAAATTTGATGAGCTGATCCAGCTGAAGAAAGGCTGTAGAAATCTGGATGATCAGAAGACTCAGTATGAAAACGAGCTGTTCAACAGGAGCAAAGAGGTGGCTCACACACTGAAGCACAAGGCTAGCAATGAACACGATCTGAAGAGAGAGTTTGATTTAGTCTGGAAGAAATGGGCATCAGATATAACATCTGCCATGCCAGACATTAAAGACATCAACATACAGGAGGATGTGATGAAGATCCTGACACAGATGTTTGAAAGTCAGCTTGTGTATTCTAACAAGAATCATGGTCTTTATAAAAAAATCTGCTACCTGTCAGATTATGCTGACTATCTTATAATAAACAAACACAAATATACACCTGGATTCATGAGTTATCAACTAAAGTCTACAGATCATGATGAAATTAAACGTTTAGTGCAGGACCTAGACAGAAAGGCTGAGGAATACATTAAAAAGAAGCATATGGCTAAGATGGGTTACAGTGAAAGTTACATACAGGAGATTGTAAATGATGTTTTGGAACGTATCAAAGATTTTGAATCAAACACCAAAAAATATGTGTTTAAAAAAGAATTTAAAGTTGATGTTTCACTGTATGTGTGTGGCATTGCAGTACCGAAGTTCACTGACCTTCACAGAGCATTCAGGGAGGCTAATGACCCTCTGACTCACCTGAACAGTAAGAAAGGAGACTATTACAGCATCTTCAGGAAGTTCTGTCAAGGTGCAACATCCACCACTGTGTTTGCAGACTTTCTGTGCAGCAAACTGAAGCCGTCACTCCTGCAGGCTGTCTATGACAGAACAGCCATTGACGTGGCTGGAGACATGAGGGCCAATTTCCCAGAATTCAGTGGGAACAGGTCTAACCTGGAGAAGCACATCCTGAGGGCGCTGGCGGAAGAGGAGAACTTTGACAAGTTCATGACTTACATCATTCACCCAAGGAAATACTTCAAAGAATTCATAACCCAGTGTGTTTTGAAGTGGTTCTTTACAAAGAATTCCACTGTGATCAAGTTGTTCGAAGAAAACTTGGATCAGCAGCAGTCCTGTATAGCTGCTGCAGTTTCAAGAGCAACAGGTGATGTGATGTCGAGGAAAGGGAATATGGACACATGGCTGGAAACATTTTCCAACGAACTCAAAGACAATCTGAAATTCAGTGAGAACGACCTGAAAGGTGTCCAGTACCAGGACATCAGTGACTTTGACTTCCTTCAGAAAGCAATGACTGATGCTCTCCAGAAGGTCACTGAGGGTTTAAGGAACGGCTTCAGCCTCTCTTCAGTTGACATGGGGAAGTTCAGGGAGAAGCCGGATGAGATCCTGTTCAGGCAGCTGTGTGGGTGCTGGGCTCAGTGCCCCCTCTGTAAAGCCATCTGTACCAGCACCATGGAAGGACACCCTGGGGACCACAGTGTCCCCTTCCATCGGCCTGAAGGGGTTAAGGGGTTAAAATGGTATCAAACAGACAATCTCTCTGTTGACATCTGCACCTCTGCAGTTGCAAGTGATCATTTAATAGTACTAGATGATGGTCAAAGACGTGTTCCTTACAAGAGCTACAGAGAAGCTGGTCCAAAATACGCCTGTTGGAGCATCACCCCTGACTGCTCTGAGCAGCCCTACTGGAAATGGTTTGTGTGCCGATTTCAGGAGGACCTGGAAAAGTATTACTCCAGGAAGTTTCAAGGAAGAGGTGTGATTCCCCAGCAGTGGAGGGAGATCACAAAACAAGAAGCTCTAACAAGCCTAGAAGAGTAGCTCTGGCCAGTGTGTGTGCTGTCCTGGCTCCTCTGGTCTGCATCAGTGGGGAGAGAAAGCTGGACCTGAGCTCACTGTTCTCTCTGCTGTGCACAGTTAACACCAGCACAGCTGCAGGGCCTGAGGTCCTGCTGTCACCCTGTCGCATGATGCTCTGTTGTTATAAGTGTTGAATCCACTCATGAGTCTTTTTAAATGATTTAGATCTGATTCACAGACTAATTCTTTAACTTGTAATAGCAGTGATAGTAGCTTTTTTCGTGTAATAATCACTTTAAATCACTCTTGCTATGGAAAATATACCATTTTATAATAATGAGGTGCATTTAAATCTTCTTTACTGTAGAACAATAAACTCATAAAATTAATGTCATCTACTTGAATTCTGGCTTGTTTCTTTGTTCCAGATTATGGCAAGGTAACATCGAGATTTAGGTCAATCAGCACCAGGACCCACGACACAAAAACAGCTTTTTTTCCCCAGGCAGTGACTCCTATTAATCACTGAACATTACTAACATTTGTGTTATTAAAATTGAATACTGATTAGTTTACAACTATGGCATTACATGCATTAATAATATTATTATCTGTATATGGTTATTTATTATGGACAGTTTAATTATCACTTATAAATATGTATATCTGTATGGTGTTATCACACATAGGTAGAGTTTTGACACATTCTTGAAGTGCAATATATATTTTTCCTCTAAATTCTGAAATGGATATTATGATTTATGTGTCTATGTATATAAAGTATATCTGTATGTATATGTTCTGTATTAGCAACTCACCAAGTCAAATTGCTTGTAAGTGAAAGCTTACTTGGCCAATAAAGTGAAAGTCTGAGTCTACTAGGCAAATGGTACCAACAGAAATCCAGGTTTACTGCATCTGAGATATTTCCATGTGAGAATTTAAAATCTCACCCGGAACTCTTGTTTCTGTATGGTTTATTAATCATTAAAGTGATCTGTTTGAAGATTCAAGTTTTGTTTAAAATGTTTAAAATTCGTAAGCACTGTAGCTAATTTGGTAAATGCTGATGATCTTGCCTCAGGTCTTGAGGTGGTGGGCTGCAAGATTAAACAGCAGGGCCTTTCCTTTAAACTCATTTACTCTGACACACCCGGCAGTTATATGGAGTAAGAAAAGATTGGATGCTGAAAGACATCCTAACTGTTTTGTGTTAAGACTTTAAACTGTTGCAGTTATGAACTGATACACAGTGGGGTCACCTATAGACTCGGCCTCAAGGAGTTTTAACAAGGGAAATTGGTGAGAAATGATTGCTGTTATTGGCAGACAGTGTGATGATTAGCGCTGCTGAGTCACACCTCCAACATCCCAGTCTGGATACCAGCCTCAGGTGACACTGTGACGCACCCCTCCATTAACTACAGTGGACTGAACAATCTGAACACATAAAACACTGATGAGAGGCAATACTGATTTCACAATACTCATGTGAAATGTACCCTCAAATCCCTTTGACAGTCATCTCAATTAACCAACACCCAGTGTGTCTATTTACAGTAATAGAGACCTTTAACAAGTCAGTTGGTCAACGATCGGCTCGAAAACCAGCCTGCAACAATCATTCATCATGTCACTGAAATACCCAAGAGCTCATCTGGAAGGAAAACCAGCTGACACCAGCAAGTCCCCAGGACAAGGATTGAAAACCACTGTATTAAGGGCTTGGAGGCACAGTGGTAAACATTATACAGTGATATGAAAAAGTATATCCCTTAAAATTCTATAGTTTTGCATGTTAAGACACATCTGACCTTAACCTAGTCCTCACCAAGTCACCAAAGGTAGATAAATGTTACCTCATCACAAATAACACACAGGTCTGATATTGTTATTATTTAACAAAAATGTCAGCCAGCATTCAGAAGCTTTCTATTTGCATCCCTGCAAATTCACCCCAAGATCAGACTGTGTGATGTTCCTAGAGATCACAGAAAACCCTCAGAGCTACATCCAGGGATCTACGGGCCTCTGTCAATACAGTAGGCATTAGAGTTCACGATTCTGCCATTAGGAAAAGACTGATCAAGCATCCAGGAGAAACCCTTCTCTGCACAAAGAACACTGCTGCACAGCTGAGGTTTACAAAACAGCACCTGGATGAGCCACAAGGCTTCTGGAACAATGTCTTCTGGACAGATGAGACCAAAGTGGGGTTATTTGGTCATAATGCAAAATGACATATTTGGTGCACACCAAACACTGTGTGTCACCTAACAAACCTCATGCCCACCGTCAGGCATGGTGGAGAGGGGTTGTGATCTGGACCTGCTTTATAGCTGTAGGACCTGGACACCTCAGCATGAATCCC